CGGCCTTTTAGGACATAATAGGATTAGCCCACCACCATTAGAATAGCAAAAGATACCAGGCTCACTATATTGCACAATCCCCTGAAGCATTTCAAACACAAAGCCCCAGAAACCTATAAAGATCCATCCACATAGTCAGCTGCCCCAGAACCAAATGCTGTTGGTGGCTCTGCTCATCAATAAACAGAGTCCTTCTTTCCAATAAGCCTCCATTTTATCTCCTATGCTTTTCTACAGGCTTGGAACTGAACCAGATGGATTTTTCCTCCAACAAAATGTCGGTATGCTGTCTGAAAAACAATCTTTTTTTTTTTTTTTTGTAATTTAAGACAGTTCTTAATTCTGGGCACCTTGCACCCCAAGATTTTAAGGAGAATAAGAGAAAGAGAAACTAACTTACATAATGGCCAGATAGCCTTTAAAGAATTGCCATAAGCGCACAGTCTGCTGCCCATGAACTGAATTTTCTAGCACCAGTTTTTGGAGATCTTTCCAAGCCTCTAATATTTCAAGAATCGGTTTGGAGTCCTCAGATATTTGAACCAGGTGAGTAGCTGCTCTTTCCAGTTCCTCTATATTTCCCTCCAGCAGAGTCATATCACTCTATGGGACACAGAACAACAGGATTCACAGTGGTGAAGACACTTTCTTGGTTCCTTCTGGATAGCAAATTCTTGTTGCTATCCCAGAAAGGATAGGTTTCTTGCTATTGATTTTTTTGGGGGGTAGGTGGGTGGAGGAAAGCTAAAAAAAAAGTACAAATGGTCAGAACCAATAAACATCACACCCTTTTAAAAAGTACTGCTCAAAATTATAGTCAAACTTAAACTTGTGAGATAATCTTCTGTGATTTGCAATGGTAACTAGGCAGAATAGATTTTTAAAAAAACTTATGTATAATGTCTTCTTTAAAATCTATAGTCCCCACATCTGCTATGAGATAATGAAACTTATTTGGGGGAGTGGCTACTGAGCCCAGCAACTTTGTGGACATTGGGCTAATTGTTGCTGCATTTACATCTGTATAAACATGAGAAGCACTTCACACCACTTAACCCTTGGAATATGTTCAACTATTTCCAACTATTAACCCCCAAATCTTCAACCTACAAAGTCCAGGAATGCATTTAAGCATCCAGTACATGTCATTTGGGACATTCTGACTACAGCAAAATATATTTGTTCTTATATACCAGAGACAATCTAATTTTAAATCCCAGGACATTCCTCACCCACATACATCTGAGATTAGCCCAAGGCCAAACTTGTAAAAAAAATAACAGAATGAGCTAAACAAGAAAAGTTAGCTCTCTTTGCAGACAAGATTACAGGAGATGGAATGGTTCCCGACAGAACAGTTATTAAACAATTTCCTTACCTCATTCCTGGATTTTTACAAGGGATCCAGATGACATTACCCTCCATTTGTAACTCTTCCATTTCCTACCAGTTCCTCCATTTATATTTACAAATGGAAGCATGAAGGAGGAAAACACAATAGTTGTTTGGTGCATTTAAATTAATTTTAATTTNTATGTGGCGCTAGCGATTCGAACCGCTGAACTGCTGACCTTCTGATCAACAAGCTCAGCCACTGAGTCACTGTGTCAGAAGATGCTGATGGGAAACTTATTCCTTAATTCTAATTTAATATCTTTTACTCCAGGGTTTGGTTGGTGGGTCTTCAGGTTTTGATTTAAAAAATTAAAACACACCAGACTGATCTGAAGCCCACCCATCCTTGTTCTGCACTACCAACAAAGTCACGGTATATGCACCTAAACTATAGGCAGAACATTAGCTATTAGGAACCAAGAATCACCCTGGATGTCTATTCTGCATCTGTGTCACTAGATGGCAGAATTTCTCTGACTATAGTTCATAATTAAGATAGCAAGCACTTCCCTCAAGCCTTTTAAAAACATCAAATCACCTTCAAGCTGTGCTGGACACCTACTGACTTACATGGACATTTCCATTCAGTTTTCTTGGCAAGACATGGAAACACTTTCCATTACCTTGTCTCAAAGTCTACTCAGGAAATATTAAAGATGTGAAAACAATGTCAGCTTCTCCCACTATTGTTTAAAAGTTAGCAAGGAACTCACACATAGGTCATCATACTTGACAACACTAAAATATTTGCATGTGTATTTTGCTCAATAAAGGTGTATAAAGCAAGGAAATATGTAGCCAATGGCAACTTCCCTGTATGTTTGTCAACTGTGACAATTTACATTCAGATTGCACGCAATTTGACATCAAGAAATACTTGCTGTGGAGAACTGTGCCTAGGACTGAAATAGATTTAAGAAGCTAATTGAATTGTCTTCAAAACAAAAACATCTCACAGACAAAACAGTTTGAAGTCTAAGGAAGGTTTAATTTTTTTAAAATAAAAATACTATTTCCTGATTCTGATCTTTAATTAATTTTAAAACGTCAAGCCATTCCCAAGATTTCTCTAGGACAGGGATTAGCAACATGTGGCTCTGGAGCCGCATGTGGTTCTTTCATCCCTCTGCTGTGGCTCCCTGTCACCGGTCACCTCCACAATTGATAAGGGCTTTCAGTTATGGCAAGTAAAGGAAAAAGGACACCGCACTAGGAGACTCTATGGTGGGGGGAACCCAACTTCCGGTCAGCAGGGGGAAAAGGATGCTGTGCTAGGAGACTCTATGGTGGGGGGAACCCAACTTCCGGTCAGCAGGGGGAAAAGGATGCTGTGCTAGGAGACTCTATG